TTGACTTATCACAGTACAACTGTATCTACCTTGTCACTGTGAGTGACCCACTCTTGACTTATCACAGTACAACTGTCTCTACCTTGTCACTGTGAGTGACCCACTCTTGACTTATCACAGTACAACTGTCTCTACCTTGTCACTGTGAACCACCCACTCTTGACCTATCACAGTACAACTGTCTCTACCTTGTCACTGTGAACCACCCACTATTGTCTTTTCACAGTACAACTGTCTCTACCTTGTCACTGTGAACCACCCACTCTTGACTTATCACAGTTCAACTGTCTCTACCTTGTCACTGTGAACCACCCACTCTTGACTTATCACAGTACAACTGTCTCTACCTTGTCACTGTGAACCACCCACTCTTGACTTATCTCAGTACAACTGTCTCTACCTTGTCACTGTGAACCACCCACTCTTGACCTACCACAGAACAACTGTCTCTACCTTGTCACTGTGAACCACCCACTCTTGACCTACCACCACCACAGCACAACTGTCTCTACCTTGTCACTGTGATTCACCCACTCTTTACTTATCACAGTACAACTGTCTCTACCTTGTCACAGTGAACCACCCACTCTTGACTTATCACAGTACAACTGTCTCTACCTTGTCACTGTGAACCACCCACTCACTTGACCTCTTATCACAGTACAACTGTCTCTACCTTGCCACTGTCACTGAACCACCCCACTCTTGACTTACCCCAGTACAACTGTTTCTACCTTGTCACTGTGAACCACCCACTCTTGATCTACTTGTCACAGTACAACTGTCTCCACCTTGTCACTGTGAACCACCCACTCTTGACTTATCACAGTACAACTGTCTCTACCTTGTCACTGTGAACCACCCACTCTTGACTTATCACAGTACAACTGTCTCTACCTTGTCACTGTGAACCACCCACTCTTGACTTATCACAGTACAACTGTCTCTACCTTGTCACTGTGAACCACCCACTCTTGACTTATCACAGTACAACTGTCTCTACCTTGTCACTGTGAGTCACCCACTCTTGACTTATCTTAATACAATGTCTCTATGTCTCTACCTTGTCACTGTGAACCACCCACTCTTGACCTATCACAGTACTGTCAACTGTCTCTTGACCTTGTACACTGTGAGTCACCCACTCTTGACTTATCACAGTACAACTGTCTCTACCTTGTCACTGTGAGTGACCCACTCTTGACTTATCACAGTACAACTGTCTCTACCTTGTCACTGTGAACCACCCACTCTTGACCTATCACAGTACAACTGTCTCTACCTTGTCACTGTGAACCACCCACTCTTGACTTATCACAGTTCAACTGTCTCTACCTTGTCACTGTGAACCACCCACTCTTGACTTATCACAGTACAACTGTCTCTACCTTGTCACTGTGAACCACCCACTCTTGACTTATCACAGTACAACTGTCTCTACCTTGTCACTGTGAACCATCCACTCTTGACTTATCTCAGTACAACTGTCTCTGCCTTGTCACTGTGAACCACCCACTCTTGACTTATCACAGTACAACTGTCTCTACCTTGTCACTGTGAGCCACCCACTCTTGACTTATCACAGTACAACTGTCTCTACCTTGTCACTGTGGACCACCCACTCTTGACTTATCTCAGTACAACTGTCTCTACCTTGTCACTGTGAGCCACCCACTCTTGACTTATCTCAGTACAACTGTCTCTACCTTGTCACTGTGAGCCACCCACTCTTGACTTATCACAGTACAACTGTCTCTACCTTGTCACTGTGGACCACCCACTCTTGACTTATCTCAGTACAACTGTCTCTACCTTGTCACTGTGAGTGACCCACTCTTGACTTATCACAGTACAACTGTCTCTACCTTGTCACTGTGAGTCACCTATGTGGTGTTCACCAAGAACAGAAGGAACATCCATAATTCCAAAGACTTTCTGGAGATCCAATACTGATTGTGCCAACCACTATCTCACAGATTGTGGGGGCGGTGGGGTAGCCTAGTGGTTAAAGCGTTGGCTCGTCACGCCGAAGACCCAGGTTCGATTCCCCACATGGGCACAATGTGTTAAGCCCAATTCTGGTGTCCCCCGCCGTGATATTGCTGGAATATTGCTAAAAGCGGCGTAAAACTAAACTCAGTCAGTCAGTCAGACTCTCAGATTGTGCTGCAGATGATGACACTGGCATTCATCAGTTTGGTCCTTTAGTTGTAATACAACAACTAACTGATCCTAATAGTTCCTAATTGGTGCCCATGCAATTCCACAAGGGTGTATTTGGGTGAGATGTTTTTCTGTCCTTGGAGGACCTTAGCACAGGGTGTTTCCACGCCATTTTGAACCCTTGAAAACCCAGGTTAGAATCGGTCTTCAGCAAATCATGCTTGTCATAAAAAGTGACTAACGGGATCGTGTTGTCAGACTCACTGACTTGGTTGACACATGTCATTGTATCCCAATTGTGCAGATTGATGCTCATGCTGTTAATCACTGGATTGTCTGGTCCAGACTCAGACCAGCGCCATCTAGCTGAGTGTGGTGTTAAGCAACAGACCAACCAACCAACTACTACATTTTTCGAAAATTAGAGATAAGCAATTAGTATGAGTCAGGATACGTATGGAACAGCATTTTTTTTCTGAAATATATATTTTGAACCTTTTTGCACTAAGAGGTACCGTCTTCGGTATTCAGGCCATTATTGTGATAGTCTTTGTGTTTGTAAATGAGGTATCAGAATTTTGACACTTATGGTTTTGTTTCAGAAATGACTCTTTCCCCAAACTCAGTGTCTGACTCCAGATGTGAAACTTGTTGTGGGATTGTCTCCAGAGATGCTATCCAGTGGGACTCTAGAAACATTTCACTTTAAGGATCCTGTCATATGGTTTTCATCAGGATTTGCCATTTCCTCTCAATGGATTGCTTTTTCTCTTTATACAAGAAGACAGACTCTGAAAATGTAAAATTCCATTCGGATAACATAGAAGATTAGTGACTGAAATCATGACCATGTGAGCTTGTAGCATGGTGTTGTTTGTCTGTTGTCTAGTCAGTGTGTCACTGTCTGTCATCCATTGTTTGGGAACATCTTCTCTGATTTAGCTGACAATCTAAGTACTTGACACAAATTAACCTGCGGCTATTAAAATCCAGGTTTTGTGAGGTTTATTAAGAATTCAAGTTGAAGTAAAATCTCTGCGAATCTTCTAAGAAATCTGAACCATTGATATGATGTGTACTTGTAGGAACAGGAAACGGGAATCAGAATGGTTCATGCTAAAACAATAATAATAAACTAATACATTAGGAATAGTTAAGAATAGAATTCTCCGAAACCAAATGGTGCAGGGAGGATGTCTATTTACTAAGTCACTGAGTTGATTCAGACCTAAACCTACTGAAGTGAGAAATGTTACAGTGTATAGAACTGAGGATGTATTGCAGCTGTTTGTCCTACGATTGTATTGCTGATAGTATGCAATAGTGTCAATTAGAAGAAAAACATATATTATTCTTATATCAAACTAGATATGTGCAAGGATGGTGTCACATTGAGATTAGAGTTACTTCCCTTTGACTTGAGTAGTGACAGTGAAATGTCTGACTTTCATTCATTACACTGATTAATATAATTATCAAGCCATAAGGTTTACTATCAACACAATACCAGTCATGCAATACATGAGTGAAAATAGCCCCAACAGTCATCTCTCGGGTCTGTAAAATCAGAGACCATCTATTATATGGTCTCTGGTAAAATGTAATTTAGAATTCACCTAACAAGAACCAGTATCACCTGTGGAGATTTGAATGGTGGTACCATTGGATTCAGATATATATGTTTAAAGTCTCAAGCATTTAATGTAATGTTTCTTCCCAAATTAAATTGAGTGAGTGAGTTACATTTTATTTTCACATAGGCAGCATTTCAGCCATATTGTGTCTTCAAATTAAAGCAAATGTCAAATTAAATGTGTTGACACTGCCAGAAGTTGTCAGAAATATTATTTTCATACAATGTTTAAAAACACTGTTTAGAATTGATATTTATGGTATTGATTTGTCATGTATTGTTTAAATTATTGATACTGTGTTGAATATTATCAAATTGCAATGTGTACTGTTCAGTATTTTAGTATGTGTGACTAGCAGTGCAATTTTGGGCTGTAGATGGGTAGACAAGAACATAAACTTTATATTTTTTATTGTTGTGCCAGTAAGCCAGTTCCGACTGATGGTTGGTAAGAGGGTAGTGATAGTCTGTTATCATGAGTAGCTAGCCATCTATCTGTGTATAGTCAGGTGAACAGGTTGTCTCCCTTGGACTGTCAAGTTGTCTCTTTAGGATGTGTTAGCCTTTCTCTACACATTTGAGAAGCTGTATGTATCCATATTTATGTGTTAATCAGATGGTATGACTGTATTTTGTCTGTCTCTAGTGTGTTTGTGAAGCCACTGCTGGTTCATGCTGAGAAGGGACATTCCTCTCCAGATCAGTGCTCATCACTGTCATGTTGGTATAAAGCACTGTCAGATCTTAGTGCTTGCTACCCCAAGGGTATCCTACTGCAAATCACATCAGAACAATCTTATGAGGCTGATCACAGCATCATTTATGAGATTGATCACAGCATCACTTATGAGATTGTGAAGGTCTGAATATGTTTTCAATTATGTTCCTAATAATAAAGAAGCTGGCATCCTTAAAGTCTCACCTTTTAGGTGTTCTAAATGCCGTTCAAAGACAATGTATGGAACCATGATAGGATAAAATGAGGTTTCTTGATTAACAGTTGCATGCTGTATGACCAATTCAATGGGATAGAGCCGTTTCATAGCCCGAAATACTGCTATATCTAGTAGACATTCCAAAGTTGTCTTGACTTCAGTTATTTACTGAGCTTTGTCAACATATTTTTTCTGAATGTAGTTTGAGTGGAAGCTCACAATTGGAACATTCTGTGTTCTCCGTCTTGTGAAAGGTGCTGTCTGACTGGCCAAGGCAACTTCTTGTTTCTGGTCAGTCTCAGTGAAAGGTCATTGTGGTGTAAACCGTTGTGGGAATATTCAGTTTCAAGATCTCTGGAGTGATGCTTTGATCAATCTGATGAAAGGTCACTTTGCAATAGGTTGTTTATGTGAGAGTAGCAACGACTGAGATTGTGGAACAATAAGGCTTCTATCTATGTGGTCAGTGTACTTGTAAGCAAAGATACTGTTTATCCAGATGTATCCATTTCCATTCACATTTCTCAATTCATTTGAATATATAGATGACGTATTGTACTCGGAAATTGGGGCCAGGAGAAGCCAGTTATTGAGTTCCCATATACTGAGTATCTTGTGTTAAATGATTGACAGGAGTAACAGTGAGTGGCAGTGTAATGATAGAGAGTCTGTATGTTTACTCAAGAATGTCATTTGATTTTATCACGAACAAATTATTGGAAAATATATTTATCAGAACATTTTATTGAATAAAATTAATATTTTTCATGCTTGTTCCGTTCTGAGTATTATGAACATAGAAGGGAATGCTTAATTTCATTTGCAACATATAAGAATTTCATAGCTGAATTGTATGCCCCATGTACTCGCCTTATCCCACCTCAGATAACTGCAAGACATCGTTGGTGCCAAAAGACAAATCCTGCTTGTGCAATTGTTATGTTTTCGGATGAATCAAGTTTATTTTGGACTTCTTTTAAAGCATTACACAGTGTCGCGTAGAGGGAGTGAGCGTTTTCATTCTGTTAGCTAGAACGATCGTTTTAGGGGTGACTCCGTAATGGTTTGGGGTGGGCTCACAGTGACCTGCATAGCACCTTAAAATGTTATTCACGGCATTGGGCAGTTCTACTGTGACATCAGGAGGCACACGTGGTGGCATCTGCGCGCCGACATGGACGTCACTGTGTATCAGGATGACAACGCAAAAACACACAGGCTGATATTGGTACTGAATACGTCCAACGGGAGAACATAACCACCTTACCATGGTTAGCTCTCAGTACAAACTTGTCACCCATAGAACACGTCTAGGATTTATCCTTGGTCAACAACCACTGACACTCTCAACGAACTTGGCTTTCCCATGGAATGAACCAAGTTGACATTGGGCATTTGGTTAGGGTTAAGACTTGTCGAATCCAGGCTAGTCTTGAGGCGGATTCAATCGATATTCATGAGTCTGGCGCTTTATGGTAAATGACGTGAAGGACATTAGAGCAATTTTGCCAATCATCCAACAAATTCTATGTTCATCTGATGTTCAACGACTAATGCAATTCTCAATCAGATGTTCTGTTACACTGTTAATCTTCTTAACTAATTTATAGATTAAAAATTTCTAACTATGACACATTTGTATTGGATATCCTCTATATTTTTAATCGTATAGTTTTCACGATTTATTTGCATTTTCCGCACATTGGACTCTTTTTCGGTGTAAACTCGAGAATGATTATTTACTCTGTGTCGTTGGCGTGATTTACTTACTTGACCTGGATCGATAGGTTTTGTTTGTTTTCTGGAGTAATTTACTCAGTAAGGGTCAACTACAAAACACATGTTTGGACCGAGGCAGGGACAGGTGCGTGCACACTTCAGTTTCACCCGTTTTCACGAGAGTTTCAATGGTCATTTAATAAACTTTCAGGACAGAAAGGGGTGTCCATAGTGTTGCAAAACGCACATAATTTATGTCGTTATTCTGTATCCACTATCCACCCGTGATCTCTTCACTTGCACACAACTGATTTAATTCAGAATTAATATAATAATATTTTGATTACACAAAATCAGTAGATGCGCTATCGTATCACTTGATTGGTTTCGTCGGTTGTATACAACCTGTATACAGGCGACGTAAAGAGTAAAGCAGTGCGTCAGACAACGACACGTGTTTATGCAAATCGTGTCCGGTACAGGCGGACATGTTACCATTCGTGAGCACCTGATGTCGTCACTGATTTTCAGTGATCCATTCACACAATTTAACTGTTTTCCACAATTTGAATCTCTTTCGGCGTATAATCGAGGCTGGTTATTCTGCAGGATTGGTGTTGAATATTTTATTGATGAATTGGAAAAACATCGTTTCATACAAGACACAAAACGTCATTGGCAACTTGACACTCGACGAAGACCTGGGCCTAGATTTTCGAAGCTCTCTTAGCGCTAAGATAGTCGTAAGTGCCATACATTAACATTAACTTACGACTATCTTAGCGCTAAGAGAGCTTCGAAAATGTGGGCCCTGGAGAGGACGAAATATATACTATCGGAATTTTCACTTCTAAATACTATTAGCATGTTGTTTACTTTTGTATTAGGAAAAACATTGAGAGTGTGGATTGAGGACAATGATTTGATGATCGGAATCTGCTGTGGAGGGTCATTTTCCTGTGCTTCCGTTCATCTTATTAAAGCCTTCTATTTGGTGGAGAACATGCATTTCTTGTTTGTGAATAAGGTTTACTGTGGGGAAATGTTTAATGTTATGCAAAACATGCATTTATCAGTCCAAGTTGGTAAGAGAGTAAAACAGGCGTAAGGTGAAGATGTATTTTGAGCCCGGTCCTAATATCTTTCTCTGTCAATTTACTTGTTTGTGTTTCAAATTCATAACTAATGTCATTATAGTGTATTTGATATTGTTGATATTAGGATACTATTAGTGCTGGCGATATGCGGCGAGCGGTTTACAATCGTTGTTTCGGTTTTAAATGTTGTCTTGAAAGTAAATTTAGAAACGAAACACATAATCGTGTTTACAAAAAGTTATATAGTTGCAACACAAAAAAGATGGTCAAGGTTGTAATTTAACATTATTAGTTTACTACTTGTCTTCAAAAGTAATGTAGTCAGTAGTTTGTAAAATCTGTTCAAGCTTCACAGGCTTTTTATATATGTAACAATGTGTGAAGCCCATTTCTGGTGTCCCCCGCCGTGATGTTGCTGGAATATCGCTAAAAGCAGCGTAAAACCAAATTCATTCAGTCAGTTTATATATGTAAAGATTGTTCAAAGAAAATAAGTATATATCTTTTGCGACAGTTTATAAGAATTAAAGGTGCAGCTATATTTGTATATGTTAGGAGATATCGGGAACATAGTATTATACTAACATTGAAATACAAATATGAGTAATACTGGGTATAGTCCGTTTGGCTTACAAGCGGACCGATGAATTGCAATCTAACTCGAAAACTAATAAAAATTAAAAACTCAATGAAACGCTGATCATAATCAAAACATCATCAGACATAATAATAAAAAAGTTGTTTAACAAACTATCATTAAAATATTTACATAGTTCACTATTTGCTACGAGGGAGGAATGCAAAGAGAGGAACAGCCAGGTGTGCGAGAACGGATGGAGACGGCACAGCACAGGTTAATGAATAAATAACTTTGTCTGTGAACGTGCTTCTCGAACACCTGGCTGTCCCTTTCTCTGCACTCCTCCCTCGTAACAAACAGTGAACGGTGTCAATATTTTAATGATAGATTGTTAAACAACATTTTTGTTTTTAGGACAAAACTTCTGCAAAAACCTCACAGAGTTGGTATGATGTTTTGATTATGATCAGCGTTTCATTGAGTATTATATGTTTATTAGTTTTCGAGTTAGAATGCAATTCATCGGTCCGCTTTTGAGCCAAACGAACTATAGTTCTTTATGAAGTTGCTTTCACTGAAGAATGCAAATATCCCCTTCACCCTTCTAATACATTCTAAAAGCAGATGAAGATAACAAAAATAGTAAATAATCAATTGCTTTGGTGTGAACCATTCGTGGGCACATTTAACCAGCGAGTCAAAGAACTGGCATGAAACGCTTTCGTCCTCACAACTTCATCCTGAAATATATTTCTCTGTCTTACCAGTGAAATCTTAATGAAGAACTTTTTGTAAATTTCGAATTGAATTTCATTGCATAATTTTTAAATATGTTGTTGACATTTTTAATAGTTATGGATACGGATTGCGACACAAATGACATTAATAACGAATACCCCCTTTTATCGACGAGTGTTCTAGTTTTAGATGTACATGTCGTTCATTTTGTAACAATGACTATGAATATTAAATGTAAATTATTTATCTTTCTCAAATCACAACATTTACATCTTACCGTTTCAGTGGTTACTCATCTAAAACGTGTTTTTATTACTGAATGAAGATGTAGGATCTGTATCTTCACCGACTATATGGCCCACAGTACTGAACAAACTTGAATGTCTGTCCGTCGTTTCCTTCTTAGACAGCAAACCTAATGTTTCCGTCCTAGTCGTGAATCCTGTGCATGTCAATCCCGCAACTGGCCTAGTGATGCACCTTGTGAATATATAGGCGGGTAGTGCAAGAGAGAAATGCATCAGTTTTATGTGAACATGCCAGGCACATATCTTGTCCTGGTCTTATGTCGGACCAGCCACTTGTGTTTCTCAACTTATGCATGGGGACCATCGAAAAGATCGATCTTTAAGCATGCAAAATACTTGTCTGTAATGGTTTCGTAATCACATTAATCATTCGAGGCCACATTCCTGTCCCCGTGACTCGGGTCACCACTGTCCACAAACAGCCGCCATCTTGCTTGTTCCTGTCTGGCTCTGGAGCACTGGCTGTTATGGTTACTTCCCATCTCCGCCTTCGCCACCTGTCAGGACTATAACCAGCGACGTGGGCAACATTCCACACCACCCTTCGTCTACCCGGCTGCCTACGCCGAGCGTGGCATCATAATCGCGCCAAAGGGATTTCCAGGGATTTGACGAGCTCACTGCTTTCTTGACTTGCTTTTAACGACCCTTGTTGGTGACAGCGACAAGCACACATATCTGGTGAGGTGACGGGTGGGGACAAGATGGCGAAGGACGCACGGGACCCCACTCGGGCTGTCTGTGATCATAGGACGGGGGTCACGAGTAACGCAAGTCCCCCGCTAAAGGGCAAGAGAGGTACTAAACATGGACTGGCTGACTGACGCCCAGCACGTAGCGGCTTGAAGTGCTGAGACCGTCCCGGCTCTACACGACAGCTGATCGCCATTCTTCTGTGCACAGATAATATGCGGAATACATCTTCACGATGAGGGTGAACAAAAACAAAAGCAAGAAAAAATAAAAGCAGAACAACGTAAACCCGTGTTAGAGACAGCGAAACAGTATTTCATTGTTCTACTGAACACATACATAACCGCCTTATATCTTGCTATGTGTGAATGTCTACATAATAAGATCTACACTGACTTGTTGGTATCGACTAAATAATGACCAACAGTGACAAGTCCCCCACAATTATAGTCTCGTGACCACCAGTGACAGGTCCCCCACAAGTATAGTCTCATGACCACCAGTGACAATTCCCCCACAAGTATAGTCTCATGACCACCAGTGAAACGTCCCCCACAAGTATAGTCTCATGACCACCAGTGACAGGTCCCCTACAAGTATAGTCTCATGACCAACAGTGACAAGTCCCCCA